CATATTGTTAATCCTCATAGTAACCTTTTCAGAAAACTATTGCAATTCCTCTTTTGCATGCAGAAACTGAAGTTCAAGGGTTAGGTAACTTGCTAAGGCTTATTATAGTTACCCTTCTCTCATTCAGTTGTGAACGCATTCCAGTGTGTATCCTGGTCTACCATTTCACAAAACTTCTTTCACTCCAAATACCTGTCATCACCATCTCATCTAAAGAAATCTTTCCAGTTCTTTCCCTCCCCACTTCTCTTATTCCCTCTCCTCCCTTCCCCTCTTTTCTTCTTTTCTTTCAACAGAGTCTTGCTCTGTCACCCAGGCTGGAGTGCAGTGGTGCGATCTTGGCTCACTGCAACCTCTGCCTCCCCTATCCAAGCAATTCTCCTGCCTCAGACTCCGAGTAGCTGGTATTACAGCCATGCACAACGATGCCCAGCTGTCATTTGCATTTTTAATACGGATGGGGTTTCACCTTGTTGACCAGGCTTGTCTCAAACTCCTGACCTCAGGTGATCCGCTCGCCTCGGCCTCCCAAAGTGCTGGTATTACTGGCATGAGACACCATTCCTGGCCTCCTCTTCTTTTCCTACTTCCATAAATTTTCAGATTCCTTGATTGATTCCCCTCTCCTTTAAGTTCTCAATCAACCCTTTGGTGTCTATAGTACTAAAACCAATTTCTTTTGTACATCTCTTGCCAATTTTCCTAAAGTTTCTATGCCTATTCCTCCATTACTATGCCTTTGTAGGTCTTTAGAGCTCTGTCCTAGGTCTTCTTATTTTATCATGATATACTCTTTAATCCTCTGGCTTTTATTACCATATACACAAGGTGGTTTTAATTACTGAATAAATGCCAAGACCTTAATTCTAGGTAGGACCTTGCTTCTGGGCCCTAGGTCTATACTTGCCTACCTAAAATTACCTATTGCCTTCTTTTTTGCCACTTTAATATCAACATTACCAAAATATAACTCCTTATTTTACTCTTAATTCTTGTTTTTCTTTCTGCATTCTTTTATCTCAACAGGTATGTGGCCATTGGCTCATGTGACAAAGTGAGATACCTGCATAACATTCTTGGATTCTCTCTGCCCTAAGTCCTCAAATCTAAACAGTCACTAAGTTCTATGACTTTAATTCCGAAGCCATGTGGATTTTATTTCATGGAATTCATCCAGGTCCAGGCTTGTTTTCTTGCTTTATACTTTGGCCTAACACGCTGTCTGGTACTTAGCAGATCCCCAATAAATATTTATAGAATAAATGAATGAATAAACTAATGAATGAGGCATAAAAGAATAAACAAATCAAATGAGAATTGGAGCTTTTCTCTCTTATTTCAGAATATATAATATTTTCAAGTCAAATGTCCATCCTTTGATAAAGTGGTTCGAAGACCTAAGTCTCTGACTCATCAGCCCAGTGCCCTTCTAATTCTGTATCTCGGGTAGGGGAATCATGCTATCATGGACTGTCAGTGTTGAAAAACACCTTACCAAGTTGAGAGTAAGTGCAAACCACTCTGACAATGACAACCCAAGGACTCAGAAAATATATAACTTATATGAGGATGTTCAGCTGGTTGTTGAACAGAATTGGTTAAAAATCTGTTTACTCTTAGTGCAGTAATGTTTCCTCTATTTATAACACCTATATTAATTTTTAGAAAAAAATAAAATATTATACCTTAAGCAATATGTAAGTTAAATGTAACTTCCATTTATACAATATTTCATTTCTGTTGCTATTATTAACCTGTGTAACTTTGGTAGAATATACATGCTAATTATTTGCACTATGCTTGCAATTTTTATGAATGTTATTATGAATAGATGAATATTTTTATTTAACTATTTCAGCATCAGGATTTCCCTAAACCCCAAAATAACTTGTTGGCAAGCAAGAAAAGGAGACTGGGGCAAGAAAAGAGACTGGCGAGCAAGAAAGGAGACTTGCCTGTCTAGTACAGTTGAAAAGATTGACTTGCTGTCTTGAACAGTTACTGGACTTCCTGTTGTGGCCATCTTTAAGAGCTTGTAAAAGTATTTTTGGTCTGCTTAAAATTTTAATGGATAGTCAAAGACACTTCAGAAACTTTGGAGATATTTGGATATCACTTTATAATCTGGCCCAAGTTTGTAGTGCTTAACCCATTAAAAGACAGCTGCTTGTAAATCCACAGGTTTAGATAAGGAGTCATTGTTTGACTGAGTATGAACGCTTTTCAAGTGAAATATGTCAGTGGCAGAAAGAGAGGATGAATTACATTTTTAAAGGGTTTTCAAAGATTCTAATGTTTCCTCTGGCATCACTTAAATATGACATGACTGGTCATTTAGTGTGTAAAAATAAGCAAATTATTTTGGTATCTTCTTATTTAAAAAATAAGATTTTTAACTTGTATTTATCTGAGAGATTCAAATGTATTTTATTTTACATGGTAAATTGGAAATAAATTGTTTTAAATATAAATATAAATAAAACAATGGTTGAAAAAATACCAAGAACTCCTATCCGATAGAAATTAAACAGTTTATTTTCAAATAAGAAAATTATCCTAAATATTTCAATAAAGAATGTGAATATGCATATATTGAGTCATATTTTTCCTCTGGTTCCTCTCTGACATCAGAGTAGTGCTCTGTCTCTGAGGGTGTTTCTATAAAAGGTCTCTGATTCCAATGCATTAATCAAAAAGATTGCACAAACGCGAAAAACATTTTCAGAGGAAAATCTCATAAATAGTGTTATTCTGTATACAGAAAACAAATTATTCTTTCCATAGTTTCTGGAGACTGAATAGGCATCAGAATCTAGTACTGAGGCATTAATATGTTATTTACTATACATATTCTATTTATAAAAATATCTTTTGATGTTTGGACTTACTGAATTGTTCTGGGCTCATTCTCCTCGCTGCTGATCATCATTGCTATTGGTACACCACAATAAAAAAAGTTGGAGAATGTGTATATGTCTTCATTTGATGTGTTCTTCCATTTTTTGTGTATTTTTCAAGTGGGAAAGGCAGAGTGTGAGAAGAAGGGAGAATGAAATGTTGTCCCTGAAGTTAAATTTTTGACTGGGAACATGGAATTGTTATTAACATTGCATCTTTATTGCTCAGATATAGATAAATTTAAATTTTACAATGGATACAATTTAGCCATTGACAAAATATTTTAGCTGATGATAGTTTATATACTTTAGTTTTGGTTTTCAGAATAAGCCCTAATGAAAACATGAAAAATGATGTCTGGCATTTAAACTATTAAAAGGAGGTGACACTAAATAGAGAAGTAAAGAAGGGTTATAATTGAACTCAGGTTGACAGCATTTCTTTAAAAAAAAAACAACATGAGATTGAATATGTATTAAAAGACAGCTACTGACTTGAAAAGAAGCTAAGGATAGATTAAAGCAACAATTTTATGTTACCTGTCATGAGATGTATTTTAGAAAATATAATTACTGAATAATTCTATTTTCCTTAGCTTTCTAGTGTATATGGATTTTCATTTACATTTAGATTGATGCAAAAGTAATTGCATTTTTTGCTATTATTTTTGACCAACCTAATATTTTTTTCTATTTCATTATTTCCCATTCTCATGTCTGCTGTTGATCAGGCTAAAAAGAAATAACATTTAAAAATAACAAATTATATTATTGAGATAAAAATTTTAAATATAAACATTTTAGGCTGGTGTGGTGGCTCACACTTGTAATCCCAGAACTTTGGGAGGCCAAGGTGGATGGATTACAAGGTCAGGAGTTCGAGACTAGCCTGGCCAATATGGTTAAACCCAGTCTGTACTAAAAATACAAAAATTAGTGAGTAGTGGTGGCAGGTGCCTGTAGTCCTAGCTACTCTGGAGGCTGAAGCAGGAGAATCACTTGAACCCAGGCAAAGGTTGCAGTGAGCCAAGATCACGCCATTGTACTCCAGCCTAGGTGACACAGCAAGACTCTATCTAAAAAAAAAAGGAAAAAATATATATATACACACACACGCACACACACACACAAATACACATATCTCTGTGTATATATATTATATATATAAACATTTTAGTATTGTGAAATGGCATGGCAATACCCTTTGGGAAATAAATATCCTAGATTTAATTATTTTAAAGAGAGGCTACATGTCCTGATTGTGATTTCTCTTTTTCTGCCTATCTCAAACAACATTTAGGCTACTGGCCATTTTTTTTTTTTTTTGACATTTGAGGCCCTCTTTTATTTATCTGTATATCACTCCGTTCATTTACTTCTTGAGCAAGCATTTAATGAATTCCTACTTTATGCAAGTGTGTATACTGTCTTTACTTCCAGTTTTCCTTTAATGATTCCAAAATATTACTCTGGAGTAATAAGACAAGGAAGACCTTCCAAAAGTTATTTCCAAAGTGCTTTTGTCCATACTCCTTTGGCAACATAGAATTCTATCCAATATACCAAATACAGAAAAACAAGTAAAAACTTTGTCTAAGTATTTTCTAATTTGAAAAACATGCCTTGCTATATATTATACATATAGCCAATTTACCCATTGAAACTGGTAGTAATTTCAGAAAATTACCAAGTACTTCAAATTTCTCCACAAATGGTTGTCCAAGAGTCTCAAATAAATACAAGAATTTTAATGCAAAATGATTGTCCTAATGTTTCTTGTCTATCTGTTTTGGCATTGGATCAGTGCTTTTTAAGGGAGTGTTATTGTTTCTGGTTCTTAAAGACTTAACTTAAAAGAATTGACTTCAATAGATGATGCGTTTGAAAAGGTGCATGGAAGAAATTTGGACTAAATTTGGATACAATTATAAGGACAAGTTTTATTTTTCCCTTAGGATGAGTTGTCTTTCAGACAAGCATAATTAATTCTCTGTATGTGAATCCTGAGAATATTATGTGTGTTAAGCAAACACACAAAGAGAGGTAGCTGCTATTAAGGCATGAGTGGAAGTACTCTAAACACTTCGGTTTCATTGTCTGCAGGAGAGCTGGAGGTGTTTCAGAAAGATGGGGAACGAAAAATTCAGAGTCGGCAGCAACTTCCGGTGGGAACAACCTGGGGGCCGTTTGCTGGGAAGATGGACTTGAATAACAATTCTCTGGTATGTGGATGTTCCCAGATGGTTAATCTTTTGTCATCGCTCAGAAATTATCTCTGCTTGTTTTGCAATGAAACCCCTAAAAAATAACCATGTGTTTTTGCTTCTTCATGGATGGCAAAACTTGAATACTTTTCAAGTGGTTTGTGTCTTGACAGTAATATACAGAAGTTAGAAAGAAACAGGTTATTCATACTAAATAATGGCTAGTGAGGTAATATATAAAGTTATTCCTTTATCTGCCTAGCCAAACTAAGACTGCTCACATTTTAAAATATATACGATTGCATTTATTTTTTCAGATGACGCAAGTTGTCATACATTACAGGTTTACATGAAGGACAAGAAATAAACAACGTTGTTATTCCTTGGTAACACTGTTGGTACCTTTAAAAGCAGAGATGAAGGGTCAGCATTATCTTTTTGTTGTTTTTTTATAAAAGTTCTGAGAACAGAAACAGTATGATTATATGGATTACTGATTAAATAGATATTGTAAAAGTAATGGAGGCCAGGTGAGATGGCTCATGCCTGTAATCCTAGCACTTTGGGAAGCTGAGGTGGGTGGATCACTTTGATCAGGAGTTCAAGCCAGTCTGGCCAAACATGGCAAAACCCCATCTTTACTAAAAATACAAGAAAAAATTAGCCAGACATGGTAGCTGGTGCCTGTAGTCCCAGCTACTTGAGAGGCTGAGGCAAGAGAATCCCTTGAACTCAGGAGGCGGAGTCTGCAGTGAACCGAGATCATGCCGCTGCATTTCATCCTGAGTGAGAGAGCGAGACTTTGTCTCGAAATAAATAAATAAATAAATAAATAAAAATAATAAAATGTAAAAGTAATGGAAAGGTAGATCACTTGGTTACATTTAAACTTTATTTCTTAATCGGATGTATTGGTTTGCTATTCCTGCCTCAGCAACTCACCACAAACTTTGTGCCTTAAAACAATATAAACTTATTATCTTGTAGTTATTGAAGTCAGAAATCCAAATTGGGTGTTGCTGGACTAAAAGGAAGGTGTCTGCAGGGCTGAGCTGCTTTTTGGATGCTTTATGTGAGAATCTGTTTTCTTCTTTTTTCAATTTCTCAAGGCTGCCCATGGCCCTACCCTTATAGCCCCAGTTCCATCTTCAAAGCCGCCAGGGGCTGATGGGAGTCTTTCTCACATCCACATTCCTTCTCTGACTCTTCTGCTTTGCTTTTACACATTTAAGGACACTTAATCACACTGTGTCCACCTGGGTTATCTAAGCTAATTTCTCTATTTTAAGGTCATCTGATTAACACTTTCAATTCCATTTGCTTCCTTAATTTCTCTTTGCCAATGCAAAGGAATGTTCACAAGTTCTAGAGATTAAGATGTAAACATCTTTGCAAGGAGCTATTCTGCCTACCACATGGGATAAGAGAAAAACAGTAGCTGAAAACCTCTCTTATAATAAGTGATAATACAGGTGATGAAATTTGGGAAGAAAGATGTTTCATATTCTTAGAGGAGCCAGACATTTTATAAATATTCATTCTAATGAAAGTCCTTCTCTCTAAATGCTATTTATATAGGAAGAGTCTTGTGACTTTTAAATGACTCTATGCTAAGGGAATATAAATACTGCCAGAGCGGTTTTGACAGATGTACTGAGTTCAGCACCATTACATTACATTTTCAATTTATTATATGAAGGAAATCCCTTCTTTAAGTTATTACATGAAAACATTGATATGTATGGATCTCTGTTTATTCAGTGCCATGTGGATGTGACAGAGGTTGTTGGTTCAACTAAAAATAATGATTAGAATAAATAGAAAATATTTGTGTTACCAAACTTTTAAAGAATGCAAAAGATCTCAGGGGTGTATTTCTTACTTCATAAATTCATGTATTTATCCATAAAAGGATGAAGTAGGGGTTTTCTCATGTATTGAGAGACCAAACAAGTTGAGTATAGTCCAGGCTAACTAATTAATAATCTAAGCAATTTGTTCTAGGTGGACCACCAGTGCAGCCAATTCAAAAGAGCTTTGTGATATGGCCACAAACTGCAGGCCTCAGTTGGTTGAGTTGTATTAACAGATTCTATTGATTCCTTTCAGAGAGCAATATTAAACTATGCCCATTTCTCAAGCTAATGAATGTTAGGAAAGGCAGGGGAAGGATTGTCTAAACATCAAAGGTTGAATTAAGAGTTATTCTGATTTTATCTGGGAGTTTCTATTTGTCTTGTAGCATTGCTTACTAAACATTTTAAGTATATCATATTTATCTTATTTATCACAGTGTTTCAGATACCAACACAACCTTTAGTCATTTGTTTGATATTCCTTCAAAAGTGTACTGATACTATATCAGCTATAGTTGATGTGCAAGATGAACATTTTTCAGTTTACTATATTAAAAGAGTACATTTACTAAAATGCTATTTTTGATTAATCTTGCTATTACTATCTGCATGTATACAGAATGGTAGTTTGCTGACATTTTTATCATATGCTAAATTGTGATGGATGGAAAATAAACCTGTCTGAGAAAGTATGATTTTTTAATTGAAATAATTGCTGATTTTTAGACAGGTGATGTCATTTTGCTGTTTTAATAGCTCTATATAGCTTTAAAGCTATTTTATGCCATATTTAATATTTTTAAAGGATATTTTATAGAAAATTTTCAGAATTTTTGATACTATTTAAAACATATGAATACTCTAGATTATCAACTATTGGGTAATGGGTGATAATTATTTATCAAAAACAATTTAATACTTCAGTTTTCTTTTTTTGTCTTAGGATTTAAATATCAAATTATTTTATTTAGTTAAAATACAGCAGTTTTCTTTATTAAAATTTAGTTACCTCACTAAAATATATTTCCAGATGTTTTTCTTTTGAAATAACATCCTCTTCCAGAATTTACTTCTGAGCTGAGATTATTAAATACTACTAGTAGTAGGATTCCTGCTACTGTTACTACTGTACATCAAATTGACTAACATATATGGCTGGAAAATGGAAATAAATCAGCTCAATCTCCAAAGGAACCTGTGAATTTGGTTCTATCATAAATCATATTTTATGGATAAGAAAATAAAAACTCACACTTCTGATTCTAGAATCTGCTTTTTTAAAGAGTATGCCACACTGCCTTCTCAGTGTAACGTCTGTAACATGATTTGAGCCTGATGAAATTGTTGGTGATTTCTTAACATGAATCCTAAATTTGTGAAAATCTCTGAGAGGAAGTGTGCAAAAATTACAAATATACCTTTCTTCCATGTTGGGCAAAATATTTGTTATGTAATTAGACTACTTGAGCAGTTAAAAATGTATTCAAAGGCTTTGCAGTTTTGTTACATCTTCATAATTTGGACAGTACTATAATATGTATTTGATATCATAAATATTTCTTATAATAAAATATATAGTCTACTAACCCTTCCCTACCAAACCTTGAATCAAATTTGGATTATCATACTCTCTTAAATTGCTTATTCGCCAACTGATGTAATGTTACTCTGCTCAAACTCATGGTGTTGGCTCAGGAGATTCAGCTCACTAATTAATCCAACACAGTAATTAATTGAGTCGCCATGCCAGATGTCAAATCCTTTTTATATCTTTCAAGTCCCCATCTTGAAGTACATTAGCAATATGCCACCTTCTGCAGGAAGCTTTTGCAGACCAGGCCTTTAGATGTATATAGAACATTTTAAGAAACACAGAAACACCAAACAAATTGGTTTGACAAAAAGTTGTTCTTGGAATTATATAACACACTGAACATGGAAATAGAGTCTCTTTTGTCCACACCTTATTATTGGGTGGATACTTCATGCTTTAAAAGTTTTATAATAGCAACAGCAGCATAGTAAATACTTTCAATGGGCCAGATACTGGTCAAAGTGCTTTACATATTTTATATCATATTTACTTCTTACACAAGTGCAAGAGAAGATAATATTTATCTCCTTTGTCACAGAGGAGTAAACTGCTACTTTGGGAAGTTAAATAACTAGCCTAAGGTCAACTCCATTCCACAACCCATGCTCCAGTCCTAGAAATGTTTTCTGTGATATGGTAATAATGATACTGCCCAGCTTACAGAAATTTTGGACTAAATGAGATAGCATATGTGAGTTATCCACAAATTTCAACTACTGTTACTAGTCATTAATCTGTGGAAGTGAACCCATTGAAATCTTTTAAGTTTAAAGCAAAAAACACTCTTTAAATTAAACAAATAACACTATAGACCTTGGCGTTTAGGGATTTTACATGCCTAGATTTGACTGTTTACCAAGGGCTCTGTCTTAGGATTCTCCAAAGAAACAGAAAAACAGGATGTGTAGGTGTATAGCCAGAGATTTCTTTTTCTTTTTCTTTTTTTTGAGACAGTCTCACTCTGTCGACCAGGCTGGAGTGCAGTGTTACAATCCCGGCTCACTGCAACCTCCACTCCTTGGGTTCAAGTGATTCTCCTGCCTCAGCCTCCCAAGTAGCTGGGACTATAGGCATGTGCCACCACACCCAGCTAATTTTTTATTTTTAGTGGAGACTGGGTTTCACCATGTTGGCCAGGCTGGTCTCAAACTCCTGACCTAAGGTTATCTGCCCACCCCAGCCTCCCAAAGTGCTGTGATTACAGGAGTGAGCCGTTGCACCTGGCCTTAGAGATTACTGATAAGGAATTGGCTTGCCAGTAATGATGGTTGGGAAGTAGAGAATCTGCAGTATTCAGTCAGGTGAGAGACCCAGGAGAGCCAGTAGTGCAGATGAAGTGTGGTAGCAGTCTTTGGGATATTTCCTCTTGTGTAGGGAGGCCAGCCTTTTTGCTCTATTCAGGCCTTCGGTTGATTGGGTGAGGCGCATTCACATTTTGGAGGGCAGTCTGTTTTACCTAGAGTTCACTGATTTAAATATTAATTTCATTCAGAAACGCCCTGTGAGTTGGCACATAAAATGAACCTCACAGGCTCCAGAGGTCTGCACTACCTAGCAAGTTTTTTTTG